GGGGAGAGACACAGGTATGGAATGGAAAATTTCAGCCCAAATGGTTGAAGCCTGGCAAAGCTGTAGTGGACAAACAAGAGGGAGGACCATGGTGAGAACCACCAGGTGAGCCAACAGCAGCCTGAACAGCACCTGCATGGCTGGGCCTGCCAGCCTGCTCTGCAACACGGCAACCACCCAAGGAGTCCAAGGGGGAAATGTGAGCAGCAGCGATTTTGGGGTGTAGAAACTGGGTGGATGCACGTGTAGATGTAGATGTCGATGTCAACACTGATGTACACATCAGTGTATACGTAGATGATGTAGATGTCAGTGTTGATATCGATATCAATATAGATGTGGATATCACTACTGATGTCAATGTTGACATTGGTGTCGATGTAGACGTAGATGCAGATATTAATGTAGACATACTCCCACTTTTTTCAGCCATTCTAATGACAAAGTGGCAAACAAAGCTGTGCAGAGCAGACAATGTGAACATGCTTTATTTTCAGTAGAAATGTTCACAGCATTTCATAGCAATTGTTCAAATCCTCCTGCATGGCAATGAGGTTGTGCTCTCTGCTCTCTGGCAGTATTTCTACCACAAACTGCAATTATGAAAAAAAAAATTATGAGACGTAAAAGGGGAGGTGTAAAATGACAGAAACCTCTCCTACTCCCAACCTTTTGTAAGACAGGTATCCTACGTATTTCATGGACAAGCTCTGAATCAAACTGGCTTACATGAATTTGTACTGGTATATTCCATCACGAAGGAGCTGTGTGCTGGACAGAGAGAGCAGCAGGAGCACTATGTAAGTGTAGAACCCCTCAGAGACCAAAACAGCTTCTCACAAAAGGAAAAAGAAAAAAAAAAGAAATGCTGATGAACCAGTGCTGCTTGAAGGCAGCTGGAATAGTTCATGCTCTTGTTTTTATCATCAGTGCTCCAAGGGAAAGACAGCTTTGTTTTCACATGGTTATTGATTATTAACCAGCCCTGTGAAAGGTTACCTTTCTGCTAGATACATGATGTGGGGGTTTAACAGCCAGTCCCTGGGAACGCTGTTTTGCCGTCAGCTCTTCCTTCTCCTGCTGCAGCCCTTGCCATGGGGACAACTTCACAGTGCTGCTCTAAGTGTGCTCCAGCCACCTTTCCTGTTAAAAAGTGAACTGCAAAAAATGCAATTGGGCGCTAAGAAATCACTCTTCTGGTCAGGCACCGGAGAGGGGGGTGATGGAACTGCCATTGGTCACCGCAGGAGAATGGGGAAAACTGAGCGGGGGCTCACAATTATTTGCACTGAAAGGCAAACAAAATGGTCCTACCACCTTTCCAAGGAAGAAAACATTGTGTCCATATGATTCTACAACTCACTGATCCCAGCAGTGTCTGTTGGACATCGGTGGGGAGGAAGCAGACACAGCTTTCAAACTAAGCTCCCAAATTCAATACTTAGGGTAAAAGCTTTGAAAATTCCATTGAGTTTCGGAAGGTCACCATTCCATATCTGATGGTATGTGTATTAAGGCCAACATTTTAGAACCACACAGATACAACATCAGGTACACAGCTTGGCATTCCAGATCACAGGGCACTCAACCACATTCACAATGCACTGTAAAAAGTTTTGGGCTTCGTACTGTATGGAAAACCATTCCACCGTGCAAACAAGCTCTTCTTTGCTGGGCAAACATCCAGTGAGAAAATGACATCAAACCTCAACAAGTCCTTGAAAGACACTTGAATCTGATATGGCGATCCAAGTATTACCAGTGTGGTCATTGCATATCTCACTGTAGGATGGCAACAGCCGAGTACCTGAAACATTTGTTATTGATACTGGGCTATATGAATTCCTGTTCTGGTGGAGGAGAAAATTATGGTGTGCCTGCACTGCTTAGTATTGCTACAGTTGCTGTCATCCTTCAGTTGCTTTAATTTAATCTCTTGGAACAACCAACTCACAATAAAGATTTAACTTCTTGGTGAATCACGGGGGTGATGTAAAAAAATCACCTTGGAGGAGTGAGGTGCCAACAGAGGAAACACTTGGACCTGCCAGAGTGGTTCTCAGCGTGAGGTGTGACCATGCTATTGACTGTGAGGCTGTGCTCATGGATCAGACCAACACAGAGCTGAGGAGCATGAGCACCCTGTCTTCACGGTGAGGTTGTGAAAAGTTCCCCAAAGGAGTAAAACCCAGGGTCTCCAGCTGGCCTGCAGCACACATACATCCAACAGTTAAGGTAGAGTGATGGAATCATAGAGTATCTCAAGTTGGAAGGGGACCATAAGGATCATCAAGTCCAACACCTGGTTCCACACACGGCCACACAAAATCAGGCCACACCTCTGAGAGCATTGTCCAGACTCAGCATCACAAAGTACTGAGCTTGAAGGTGAACCCAACCATCCCTGTGGGATTTGTTCTAGTATGCAACATGTCCCTTGCTTTGGCTTTCACAGTTTTCAATGGCTAGACACTGAATGCTGTTGTACACTTATGAGCTGAAATAAATACGCTCCTTTTGCCAGTGCTCTTTTATTTGCACAGTTACATATAGACAGGATGGTCAATATCCTCAACACCTCACAAGCCTTGGGCCTGGGCTGATGGGCAGCTCCCTGCTGGGACATGCCAACAGGTGTGCAGGAGTCCTGAAAATCATTGAGAAACATTAAGGTTAGAAAAGGCACCTAGATCATCTAGTCCAACTGTTGACCCATCCCTACTTTGTCCATTAACCATGTCCCTCACTGCTACACCTCCATGTTTCTTTCGGGGCGTTGGACTCAGTGATCTCCTGAGGTCCCTTCCAACCCTTGCAATTCTGTGATTGTTGAGCACCTCCAGGGATGCTGACTCCACCACCTCCTTGGGCAGCACTTTCCCGGACTCATCCTGCCAAGTATTCAAGAGTCATTGGTCCTTTGAGTTCATGTGTACATACAAGATCAATGCTTCACCTTCTAATTTCTTGTATCATGCCTACACATCTCAAAGCTCTTCCAGCTGGAGAATTAAGGATGATGTTTTAATTTAAATTTTAGCACAAACTGTTGCAGTTCTCGCACGGCAGCAGGCAGGATGGGCTCTGGGCGGGTTCAGCTCCCACTGCTGCTGGGCATCGTCCCCCCAGGCACAAGCAGGGTCCCCCATCACAAGCTCTGTTCCTGTGCTGCAGTTCTCTGCCTTGTTGTTAGCACTACAAAGCATGCCCTTATCACCTGCTCACGCAGGCAGAATGAAAGAGAATTAGCTCTAAATTATACGAAATTCATTTGCTTTGGAGGGGGAGAAATGTTTGCTCTATTTAGAAATGTTCGTTATAGAGAGAGGACCGCATTAAGACGCCGGGTAATGGTCCTACCTGGAGATGAATCAATTTGCTCTGGTTTTTATAGCCACGCGTTTGTTTGTCCTCTCCGGTTTCCCGTGGAAAACGTGGGGCTGTAAATGCTGTGGAGAGCAGCGTGGAGCCGGGCTCCCCGTGGGGATGAGGATGGAGCTGTGGGAGACCCCAACCGCCCCATACCCCCACCCAGAATGGGCTCCGCGACACCCTGCCCTCCACATACTCCCACCCCACGGTGATTCCCCCACGGGGCAGAGAAAGCCTGAGCCCCCACTTTCATCACAAAGCTCTGGGGGCTTCAAACCCCCCCAGCTTCCAGCCAAGGGGGAAGTGTGTGAGAAGTCTCCAGAGGGACCAAAGGACGTCAAGCCCACTTCCAGGGAACGCATCCTTCTGATGGGGGCGGGCACAGGGCTGTGTCCCGGGCACGGTCCGTACCCCGGCCCAACGTGGCAGGGGATGTGAGGGAGGGCTCCGTGTTGAGGAGGAGCCGGAGGAGCAGCGATGCCTATCGGTAATTCCCACTAATAAAATTCTTTTTCACTATCCACACTATAATTGGTTTACAGCCTTTTTTGTTTATTTATCCATAAGAGCTGCTGTTAAATGGCTTGAGAAAGCAATTGCTTAATGGCTCAATATTGAATCAAAGGCTCGGTTTGCTTTCCGAGAGATGGGGGGCCCGAATGCATTCATAGCGGAAACTCATTTTCCATGTAATGGACTGGGTGCTTTTATGATCCCGGCTTCTGAGCCAGGTACCGGGGAACCTCCTTCCTCTCCCGCCCACGGATGCATCATCTCCACCAAGCCGGGCCGGGCCGGTCGAGCTTTCAGAGACGGAGCATCCTGTGTGCGCCCCGACGGCGGTGGTCGGAGACCGGCACGGAGCTCCCGGAGCAGGGCATGGAGCTGAGGGAAAAGGAGATGAGAGGAGGAGGAGGAGGGCCGGTCAAAGGAGGAAGCGTGCCTGCCTCTGAGCCGGAGAAAGCGGCCTGCGGGCCGAGTGCAGGGAGGCAGGGAAATGATCTTTGTCCCTTTCGGTAGCTCTCCGCCTCCCCATAGCCTCGTCACCAAGTCAACCGGCACCGACTTGGAGCGCATTATCTCTGAGGGTCAACACATTGCAGCCCGAACCGCGGGGAAGGCTCCAAAATTTCCCCTTTCGGCAAACAATCCGCTGCCTATCGCTCGCTCTGCCGATAGCATTGTGGTCCCCCACGGCCGCATCCCCCGCGCAGGGGGCACAGAGATCTTCTGGCGCGCCTCTGCTGCTTGGGGTCCCCCGCAGTTCCCACTCCCTTCTCCACATCCCTGCCCGAGAAGCCTCGACCTCACCCCGAAGGCAGGCCCCCCAGGAGCCTTTTGCCACCTCCTGTAAAGGATCTGCTGGAAGGGATGAGCAGCCCGTGTTTAAAAGGGAGGGCACGCGGTAGGTTTTGGGGTCACCCCGCACGCCGGAGCCCCGGGGTTCATCGAGTAGGGTCAGATGTATTTGTCCAGCAGGGCGAAAACGGGGAAAACGGTTCTGTGAGGCCGGGGCCACCCCGGTGGCCTCTTATGGGTCCCGCCCCGCCCCGGAGAGCTGCGGGAGGGCTCACGTGGGGGTGCGGCGCCTATGGGGAGGCGGCGGGAGCCAGGCAGGGCGGCGGGGCCCGACGGGGCGGCGAGCTGTCAAAGAGGGATCCCGGCGGCGGGAGCAGCCCGATGTGCCCCTAGCTGCAAGACCCCCCGGCCTGCCGCCATGAACACCGAGGAGCAGTACTACGCCTCGGCGCAGCTCTACAAGGAGCCGTGCGCTTTCCAGAGAGCGCAGGATTACAGCCCCAGCCCCCCAGCCTGCCTCTACGTGGGCCGGCAGCAGCAGGCTCCGTATCCCGGCTCTCTGGGGACGCTGGAGCAGGGCAACCCTTCGGACATCTCGCCCTACGAGGTGCCCCCCATCAGCGAGGATGCCGGGGTCTCCCACCTGCATCACCACCACCACCACCACCCTCATCTTCCTCCCCCGCACCAGGACGCTCTGCCTTTCTCCGACGGGGCGGACCCGGGGGCGATGGAGGAACCCCGGGTGCAAGTGCCTTTCGCCTGGATGAAGTCCACCAAGTCGCACGCCTGGAAGGGGCAGTGGGCAGGTAAGCCCCGCCGCCTCCTCCCTTTCGGAAGGAGCCGAAAGGGCTCCAATCGTGGGGGTCCCTCGCAGCCCTCCGATCCCGCTGCCGTCGGGTCCCCGCCTTCGGGTTGAGCCTGCACGGGTTAAAGTCCCGTTCGCATCAGTCGGGGAGGGATGGCGGTGCCAAACCCCGCGTTGATCCCCGCGAATTCCCTTTCCTCGACGAACCTTTCGTCGGGATGGGACACGCAAGGACTCGCCGTCGGGGAGCTCGGGGGGCTTTCGCGGGGTCTCCATCCCGCGGCGTGCGGGAACGAGGCAGCCCCCGCAGCCCAACGAGGAACCCCCCCCCACTCTGCCTCCGGCGCCCCGCAGCCCGCAGCGGTAGCTCGATCGGGATCGCACCTTTACAACACAGAGCCCTGGGAAGGGGGAACAATGCACAAACGAATCGGAGGTGCCAGCGAGGGGAAGAAACTCTATCGAGGCAGAAAGTTCCGCTGCGGAACAATATTTCTGTCTCTGCCTGCACAATGTTATCGTGTCCTGCGCTTTTGTCACGCCTATACGGCAAATATTATATTAATGGCTTTGTTCAAATAGACAGTTGAAAAGGGACTGGAGGGTTGAAATCACCATGAAATAGTCTGGGAAGTCGCATTCTCAAAATATCTGTGTGTGTATATATATATATAGGCATATATATATATACATATATATTATTATTTCACCGTTAAATCCGAGGAATGATCAAAACCTCGCCAAAACAAAACTTTCCTCTCTGAAGTCCCAAACCCTTCTCCACTGCCCCCCGGGGGGGGGGGGGGGGGTCCAGTCAGCGCTGAGCAGCACATGGCACTGGGGATGAGCTGCAGACACCTGCACAGCTCTCCACACTCTGAAACATTAAAGTTGGAAAAGACCTTTAAAATCACCAAGCCCAACCATCAGCCCACCCCCATCGTGCCCACTGACCACGTCCCTCAGTGCCGCATCCACACAGCTCCTGAACACCTCCAGGGACGGTGACTGCACCACCTCCCTGGGCAGCTGTGCCACTGCCTCGCCTCGTTTGGAGAGGAAGTGTTTCCTAACATCCGATCCGAACCTTCCCTGGCACAGCCTGAACCCATCACCTCTCTCCCCACACCGTGCCCCTCATGCCCGTGGAGTGCCCGCAGCCAAACCCCGGTGTCAGCACTTGAAATCCTGACCCAAAACATTCCGACCGCGGGGTTCCCCCTCCAGTGCTGCTAGATTGCTTTACCCCAACAGTGCGATTCCTTAATGCCCATGCACATACAAACTTGTATGTTAACCGGATAAACGTTCGTTTTTACTTAATTTTTCTCTACACTTTTACATATTTTACATATTTTTCTATATTTCTATGTATTTTTATACGGATGTGTCCCGGGAACAAAAGGCTGGGCGGCCTTTTCCACATCCAAGTGACCCAATAGCTGTTTCAATCGCGACGCCCCGGAGGTCGCATTGCCACCACTCCGAGGTGTCCCCTGGGGCTCCGGGTGCGGGTGACATCGCGATGACACCTCCTCCGGCTCCCGGCCCCTCCGGGACACAGCAGAGGCCGTGCTGGGAACGGTGTTGTCGCTGCTGTCACCGTTTCCAGAATCACGGAACCAAAGGTCTTCCCAAGCCAGGCGCTCCTGCTGACCCCAAACGAGGCTCCGTGCTCCCATCCCACATCCCCACTGCCTATGGTAGGGAAGAAGCCTGTGCAGATATGGGTATTGTTATTTTTTTTTCTCCACTCATTTACCATGGAGAGGTAAAACTTGATTCTATTTTTTTTCTTTTCCTTTTTTTTCTTTTTTTTTTTTCCTTTTCCCTTTTTTTTTTTTTTTAATATAAATTATTTTTACCATTTCTGGCGATTTACTTCAGTGGATTGATTTATTTCCACGTCCATTCACTGAATACTTCGGCCAAACGTTTACAAAAAGAACCATCAGCGGCCGCGGGAGCGGCGCACAGCGTAGTGCAGCCCGAAGCGGGGGAGGGGGGGTTTCAGTTCCCGGCCCTCTCGTCTCCCCCTGCGCTTCCCCGACGGGGCGGCCGCGGCCGGGGCTGACAGTGGCTCTCCGCAGGGAGCTCCTACGTGGTGGAGCCGGAGGAAAACAAGAGGACGCGGACGGCCTACACGAGAGCGCAGCTTCTGGAGTTGGAGAAGGAGTTTCTCTTCAACAAGTACATCTCCCGGCCTCGGCGGGTGGAGCTGGCCGTCATGCTGAACCTGACCGAGAGACACATCAAGATCTGGTTCCAGAACCGGCGGATGAAATGGAAGAAAGAAGAAGACAAAAAGAGGGGGACAGCCAACAGCGCTGATCCCGAGCAGGACTGCGTGGTGTCCTCCGGGAAGCTGCAGGGCAAAGAGGATCTGCAGCCGTGACTGCGGCCTCCACCAACCCCTCCAGCTCGGTCCCGGCCTCGCCCCCGGACAGCAGAGGGATCCTCGGGGCCCCGGGGCAGAGCTTGGGGCTTCTTTCTCGGAGGATCCGCGGTGCCTCTCCCCCCGGAACTCCCCGAGCCGAAGAGGCGTGCGGGGCCGGGACTGCGGTGTCCCGGGGGAGGCGGATCGCGGATGGCCGACACCGACGGCGGCAGCGGCCCCGGGAGAGTGGAGCGGGCAGCGCAGGAAGGGGAGCGGAGCCGGGCGAGGGGCTCTGCGGGCCGCCCCGCCGCTCTGAGGGGCTCCGCGGCACCGGTTCTGCAGGGGACTTTCAAAAGAAATCGGACTCGTGCTCGGTTCTTTGGCAATTTGGTTTGTTTCGTTTTCTTCCGACTTTGGGAAAGGGAAAGAAAAAAGAAAGGGGGGGAGGGGGAAATTAAAAAAAAAAAAAAGAGAGAGAGAAGAAAATAAAAATAAAAGTAAAATAAAAATAAAAATAAAAAAGCCCGAGCTTCCCGCGGGCAGGATTTGGAAGATTTCTCTCCCCAGTGACACCGGGCACACAGGCGGCCGTCGAGTACCGACGGTGCGGGGCCGCGCTGCTGCCAGGGTCTCGCCGCAGGGGTCGATGGCAGCGGCAAGAGGGGAAAGTTTCCTTCGGAGGAAAAACTCCTTCCCTTCTTCACTGCCTCCCGACCTCCGGACGTCTTTCAGAAGTCTCCACAGCTCCATTTCTTTCTTGCGCGGCTCCGCGCTCGGCGCTGCGCGGTTTTGTTTTCTCTGCGGACAACGCGTTACGTCCCGGAGGGGTTCGGGGCTGTTTGGGGCTTCTTTTGGAACCCAAGAGAAGCGGTTCAGAGCGGGGAAAAGTGACGTTTCTCCATCGTTCCTCAGCCGCTGAGGAAAATCTTACCTATGCCGACAGCGACACGGACGGGGATTTCGTGAAGGAGAAATGAACGGTTCCTAAAACAGCGCTGGAAATTGAATTCGATGGGAGGAAGGCGGCTCTTTTCACGGTGGGCACCGGCCCTGCGGATGTCGTTCTGCTGCTTTTCTTTGCCTGGGGCATTAACATGTGTGCACAAACAGGGACGTTCCTGGACTTTTTCCTTTTGCGTTGCACGGGAAGTGCAGCACCAGGCCTGGATCTCTTCAGTCATTCAAATACCATCAACGAGTGAGAACTCTGCTAATGATTCTACGAGCGATCTACCAATAAAGCCGTTCTGCTGAAGAACCAAACCCAGCAGAGCAACACGACTAAAGCCGCCCAGACTTTGCGGGGACCATTTTAAACATCAGCACTTCTTCTCATCATTAATTTCACATCAGTTTGCCACTAGAAACACCCCCGGAGCAATTTCCAAATGCCTTCTGTGCTGGCTACATCGAAGTTGCATTCAGGGAGCCCCTATGAAAATAGATCCAGCTGCTAACAGATGATCCTTCATACTGAGGGTTGGGGTTTTGTACTAAGATCCCTATGGAGCGTTTTGCTGGATGAGCAGCAGATGTGGCAGCAGAGATGCGCCCCTCCTTTTCCCAGTACAACACACTTGGTTTCAGTTTTCTCCGCGCACTGCTGTAACGATGGAGACTTTCTGAACTGTGCTGAGTTTGCTCCACCTGACCATGAGGCCAAAGTATTTCTACAAGTGAAAGTAGAACCAGCTCTGCATGATTTAGTTGTATTGAATAAAATCTTTTTCTTTAAAGAATTGACATCGCTGATGGGTTTGGCACTTCCTTTTTTTCCTATCCATCTTTCTTACAAATGCACCTATATATATTTATAGTGTTAGTTGAGTCTGGACAGCTCAGGGGCCATGCAGAGGTAAATGTATGACAATCCCAGCACCACGCCGAGCAGGCAGGAGGTAGGAGATGGAAGGTTTGGCTGTTATTTATTTCCTTTTCAGCAGTACTCAGCTCTTCCAGCCATTGCTCTGTGTGGGTTGCTGCTGCCACAGATGAATAATGATGCCATAAATCAGACCCAAAATAGGCGATTTAACACAAGGTGTGAAAGTTTTTCCACCGCCATCTCCCTTGTTGTGCTCACTGCTGCTGCCATAGATGAGGCAGATGGTGGCTGAGAGGGGACACAGCGCTCAGGAGGGCTGTAGTGCTTGGAGGGTGCCAGCCCTGCAGCCATCAGCATGGACAATGGTTGGGAGCTGAGGAGTTGAGCTCTGGGTTTGGGGCTATGCACATTTCTTGCCTTGTGAGCAGGAATACCACTGGGTATGGCTGCCCACAGATCTACAACAATGGCCTCTTAATGCCTAGGGAGGACAACGAACTGTGGAAAGCTCTGCATCTCTCTTGCTGGAAGCAATGGATATCACTGACTTTCCTTCACCCATAGCTGATCCCTCCCTGGGGCTTCCAGCACCTGGCACAGCCATGTGCCCATGCACCACATTGACTGCGTGCACGAGGAACGGGGCAGCAAAGTGGGATGCATGTGCAGCTGCAGCTTCCCCTGCTCTCTGCCCTTCCCCACCTCCTTTCCTTCACCACGTGCTGTCCAGATCCTCAGCTCCTCTACACCCAGGTGCACCTGGGAGCTCAGCGTGCATCCAGATGGAGGAAAGAAGTTCAGTGCCTCCCTCGCAGCGTACTGCAGGGCTGAGTCATCGCTGGGCAGCCTGGCTGTGGAGCAGGAAGCCCATGCACGTGGTTCCTCTGCTGTTTGGCCTGACACTCATTGCCTTCTGCCTTGCTCCAGCAGCAGAACTGCAAGCAGGGGAGGCTGTGGCAGGGCTGCTGCGAACTGCATGCCCTCCAGTGGGACATCACCTTCCCAGGAGCCCTCAATCTGGCTCCACTTGCCAGTACCCACAGGAGGCAGGTTCCTTTGGAAACAGCCATAGCCATCACAAATGATCCAAAAATACAGTGGGAGTGAGGAAGCTGGAGGGTGAGCTGGAGGATCTGGCCACGAGCAGAAGCATCCCAAGCAGGTGTCAATACCTATGAAAGCACTGACAGTGAAGGGGTTGCAGGGCTTTGTTTCATGGCAGAGGTGGACCAGATGCAAAGAGCTCAGCTCCTCCTTGTCCCTTCCTTCTCAACAAGGCCGGGTAGGAACACTCTGGGGAAAAGGGAACACACCAGGGCTCATGCCAGCAGACGAGGCTGTGCCAGGACCAGGGCTGAGGCAGGGCAGAAACACCCAGTCCTGGCTCATGTTTGAGCACTGCTTCCTTGCATTTGAACCCTTCTGCAGGGAAAAACAGCCACCTGCCTGGAGCACGGGCAGAAGGAAGGACTGTGCTGCTCTGTAGCATGGCACACAGTCTTGTACCACCTCCCCTCAGCACGGCTGCTCGGGTCCACCTAGTTCCAAACATGCATCTTTCCCTCCCAGAACAGCACCCAGCACTGTGCTGGGCTGTCAGCCTCTGCTTTTCTCTCCCTGCTGGTGAGTCAGTATTTGGCCAAAGGTGAGACTGCAGGAGGTGGCATTGCCCGAGATAAGCTAGCAGAACGGCCAGATCTGATTTTTTGTCCTTCATGATATAGGCTGGATTTTTTTTTTTTTTTTTTTTTTAATCCCAAGAATGGAAATCAGAAGAAAGAAAGAAAAAAAAAGAAAGAACTGGGGATAACCCCCTCTGCTTTGAAGGCATCAAATCTACCGTTTCTTCACTGAGAGTTTAGTAATATTCAACCCACGGCCCCTTAGTGAGACAGTTTAACTGTAGATAGAACGAGGTCTGACTGCTCTGGGGCAGTGGGAGGGGCTGTGCACCGGGCTGGCTTGGAAGGAAAGCAGTGAGGATGAGGGTGAGAGTGAGGATAAGGAAGGCTGGCAGCTGTGAGCAGGAGGGATGAAGGAGAGGAAAGAGAGACGGGAGTTGTTTGCCATGGTGGAGAAACCAGAGAGGCATTTGCTGAGGAAGTGAAGAGAAAGGTAGGTGATGCTGTGCCAGGAGCTCTGCTGCTATGGGACTGCGGTGCCAATGAGCTCATTAACCCGGAATGCGGCTCTGCACGGAGGGAGAAAGTCGCCTAACAGAAACCTGTGCTCTGTGTGTTTTAGCGAGCTGCTAATTAATTGCAGCTTGCACCTCTCCTGCTGAAGCTTAGTCCCTTTGCGATGCAAGGGAGTTGGCTCTCCCACCTCCACAGCTTTCCTGGTCCATGAACTAAGGGAAAGTGATGGGATTCCAGCAGAGAATTGCCATTTCTGTGGGTTTCACTGGGCTGGTGTTGAACCCTATTGGGTGCACGGCTTGTTCCCTGGTCACATCAGCCACTGCAGTTGCCCACGACTCTCTGTAAAGATGTTTTTGGCAAAGCTTCTCACAAAGCTGCCTCACCACACCTGGAAAATGTCATCCCAATTGGTTTGGATGCAGGCACTGGAAATCATCAGGAAAACTGCAGAGGTGCGGGAGATAACGCTCCAGCTGGGTGACAGATTTATGTCTCGCTCCAGCAAAATCCCATTTACTCCCATGCTTGCTTTCATCCCACCCTCTCTGCTCGGCTCTGGGATGTGCAGTGAACCACACACCTGAGGAGATGCTCGGCCAGCCAAGCCCTGGCAATAAGATGCTGGGAGCAGCAATAGTTCCTTGGGAAACCTTCACCTGGCTCTGTGGGATAGCTCACCTCTGGGGTGGCACCAGCCCTGGGTTTGACACAAGGGTTGTGTTAGGTGCTCCCACAGGGGAAGCTGCAGGTATGTAGGACTAAAATAGCCACCAGCTGGGCTCTCCAGATAGTGCCAGGGACATTTGAAGGGTCTGCTCCTTGGGGCTGTTTTATGCAGATTGCTCTGAAAGTAATGCCTCCAATTTATTTCTATAGAAATTTTAACAAAAGAGCACAGTAATGGTGAGAGTGTTCCCATTTCCAGGGAAGGGAAGGGAAGGGAAGGGAAGGGAAGGGAAGGGAAGGGGAGGGGAGGGGAGGGGAGGGGAGGGGAGGGGAGGGGAGGGGAGGGAAGGGAAGGGAAGGGAAGGGGAAGGGGAAGGGGAAGGGGAAGGGGAAGGGGAAGGGGAAGGGGAAGGGGAAGGGGAAGGGGAAGGGGAAGGGGAAGGGGAAGGGGAAGGGGAAGGGAAGATCATCCGGTCCCTCCCGGCTCCTCCTGCGGCGATGCTGCCACCTGCCGGCTGCGCCCCGCAGCACAACCCCGCGCCACGGCCGGAAGTCCTTCCTTTTTTTTTTTTTTTTTTCTTTTTCTTTTTCTTTTTCTTTTCTTTTTTTCTTTTTCTTTTTTTTTCTTCTTTCTTTTTCTTCCCCTTTCTTCTCTTCTTCTTTTTTCCTTTTTTTTTTTTTTTTTTTTTCACTTCTCCATTTTGCCTCTTTTCCTTTCCTCCCTACCCCCCTTTCTTTTTCTTATTCTCAGATACCCCCAATCTCAGATCAGAATTTCTTCATCAAGCAGTTACAGAGGGAGAAGTGGAGAGGGCAGGCAAGTGGCATGGCCAGGAGTGCTGAGTGGTGCAGGCAGTGAATAAAAGGCATTTGCTGAGCAGCAGCATAGGATGGGGCCCAAGGCCAGATGCTCCTTCAGACTGGGAACGACTAACTGTAATCCCAGACCTTCCCAAAGCCCCAAGCCTTCTGCCTATGCCTCCCCACTGCTGAACTGGCTTACTTACATTATTCTAATGGTACTTGGAAATCTGAACCTGCACCCACAGCAGTGAGCAGAGGGTGGTTCAAAGCACTCCTCAGCGCCAGGGCTGTCACCAAAAGCCTCATATGCAGACAGTTGTCTGCTACCCCCAGGACAGGATGCCTGCACCCAAACCCTGTTCCAGGGTTCACTGACTCTGTGAACAGCAGTTCCTTGGACAAGAAATTGTTGGTTCAAGCCAAGGGCTGGCTGTGCACCATAGCACAATTACTTAGCCCAGCTGATTGAGCTCAGCACCCAGAAATATCCCCTGGCACATTGTAATTAAATAAGACAGTTGTAGGAACACAGCCCACCCTTTCCTTCCCTGGCACAGCAAGCAGGGAACAATCATCAGAGCTGAATGCCTCTAGAAAGACTCTACTGGGAGAGATGCCATGTTGCAGCAAGGCTTTGTGAATCCTGGCTCCTGGCTGCTGCCTCCTGGTGCCATGGTGTAGGGACAGTGCTGGGACGGTGCCAGGAGCCTCTGAGCTCCTGAGCTGAACTAAGTGTAACGCTGCTGCAGTGATCCAGCCATGTGCTGCTGGCTCAACCGTGTGGGGCCACAGGACTACGGGCAGCACAGAATAGGGGGTGGCTGTGGTTGAAGCGGTACCAAGGGCCATCCTCCTGCCCCAGGCCAGCAGCATGTCCACAGGCAAGGAGATAATGCAGGGCATGTTCTACCGGCAGAGCCACCAGCAGAGATCGTGCTCATGAGGATGGAAAACACCTTTGGAGCTGCGATGGGAGCTTCCAAAAGAATGACAAAAACTAAGTAGTGGTTCTGAAGCAGTGCTGCAGTTTTGTAGTTGTGTCATTGCTGGGAATCGTGTTTAAGTCCTGGAGGAAGGAATACGCTTCTGATAAGAGAAAGTCACCTTTTCTTCTGAGTCACTGCATTCCGGGGAATGGTTGTGCAAGATGTTTTTAGAGACCTCACTTCAGCTCCCTGTGGTTGCCTATCCATGTAGAGGTGCATATAGGCACAATGGTGAGAATCAGAGAAGATCAAAATATGAGCATTTTTGCTGCAGAAACCACATACCATATTTACCGTACCAAGAAGAGCAGTGGATTGAATTTTCTTCAATTATTGAGGTTTATGTTTCATATATGGCAGCAATTTTTTTATTTTAAGCTAGAATAAAAGCTCTTTGGCATTGCTGGTGGGAGGTGATTTTTACCAAGTCCTGTGCAAATTCCATCCCATATTCACTAATTTTACACATTTCCTCAGATCAAATTCTACCACCCCTTGATTTCATCTCAATTTGGGAACCCAAATGCCTTTGAATGCTGAGGACTCTGGTGTCTGGGTGCTGCCTATCTTCCACGTGAGATGCAACAAGGGCAGGACTGGGACCTTGTGAACCCTGAGCCCTGTCTCAAGGTGCAGGCACAAGAACCATGCTCCCAGCTCACAGTGTTTGAGCTTTGGAGCACAACGAACATCAGTCTGAAGTGCTGAGAGCTTGCTGTTTGCCGGAGGAGGAAGGGAGGTCCCATGGCTGGAGCATCCCCTCCCAAAAGGAATAATGCTGGAGATAAGGCAGCTTTTCTGCTACAAAGGTCTTTGGCTGTCTGAAAGCTATCTGAGCTTGGAAGCCATTGAGACGTGCCAAGGGAGCAGGATCTGACTCAAAGGCAGAACTACTTGCAACAGCTGCCAGAAAATACCTGGGTGACTAAGGAGGCAAAAATGCCTCGAGCAGGACAGGTCCGTGTGCTCAGCTCTTATCCCTCTGCAGCAGTATTTGCTATTGCAATGCATTCTGTTTGGCTTGGTCTCTTCTTTCGGATTAGCACTGTGGGAATGGCTTTTCTTCCCTCCCTGCCCGTGTTAGTGGGGTACAGATGTGAGCCTTGACGTCTCGTATGACTGTCTGGTCTCCATCCAATCCAAGCACTGGGGACCAGCAGGCTGGAAATGAGACCTTTAAGAAAGAATGATATATTTGTTGGAGGAACTGGATCTGAGCCAATGGGTTAGATATTATGTTTTGACCTGAGGAGACACAGAATCAGTCATAGAATCCCGTAATCATTAAAGTTGAAAAAGACCTCTGAAGTCACCTAGTCCAACCACCAGCCCATCCCCCACCGTGCCCACTGACCACATCCCTCTGTGTCACATTCCCACACTTCTTGAACACCTCCAGGTATGGTGACTGCACGCCTGCCTGGGCAGCCTGTGCCAATGCCTCACCACTCTTTCTGAATGGAAATTTTTCCTAACATCCAACCTGAAGACAGGAAGAAGAGGAAAGTTGTTACCTGCTGTCCTGCTAATGGCTAATTGGACTGGGCCCTGATATCTGCTGCACATTTGCATCTTGGAACACAGGTGAGCATGAAATGAAGATCCTTCATGAGTCGTCATCCTGTCTTCTCCCAAACTTGTCATGCGTTGAAAGCATCTATGGGGGGATCCCATGGGCACCCCAGGTGGATGATAATTCAATCTAGAAATACAGGGCTGGACAGGGGTTCCTGGTCTCCAGGCCAGTCTCCTGGCAACAATTTGCTTATTTTCACAAACAGCTCAAACTTTCCTCTTTTCTGTCCCTTTGAACAGGAGTGTCTGTCTCACTCTTGGCTTCTGAAAGATCCAGAAAAGGAATGGAGGGCATAGCAGAGGGCATAGCAGAGGGTGAGACATGAATTAGAAGAACATGTAGTGTTCACATGACAGGGGATAGTGAGGACTTCACTGTCCTAGTGAGGAGCTCAGCTCCATGGGGTTGGCCCCCTCCATCCCAGAGGTTCTGGCATTCAACTGGACCCTGAGTGGGTCATGCCCACACCTCCCACCCAGCTCCCTGCATCCCTCGCCCACACCATACTGCACTGCGTGCCCTTCTTTTGCCCTGCGCTGCCTCCACACACCTTGCACTCTGCTGCCTTCCTGGCCAGCCTCCAGACCTGCTCTGCTGGCAGCAGCTCCACTTTTGCTTTCGGCTCCAACTGCCTCAGTCTTCAGCACAGAGTCCCACAAATGGGCTGTAGTCTGCTGGGATCTGGGTGAAGCATTCCATCATGCATTTGGGCTGTGATCAATGCATGCAGCAGTGCAGGTTTCTGCAGGTTGCTGCTTGAGTAGATGGACACGATCATCCTTATGGGGTCCCTTCCAACTCTGGATAGTCTATGATTTTATGCTTACTGCTGATTTTAAGACTTTTTCTTCTTTCTATAAAGCTTTGTGATGCATGCTCCGGGTGCTTGGCTATCATGTTGAGGATATACAATGTGCCCTCCGGGGATGCTCTGAGTTAGGTATTTCCTTTAGATACCATCTGAGCCCTCTGTCCGCAGGCCTTACAGCTCCTTTCATGGTGTTCTGTGACATATATGGCCACTTGTTACCCAGAACCCAAAGAACTTAAGGAAGTTCCATTTATGGACAAGCTAAGCCAAGAGAAGGAACTCTGGCTGCTTTCTTATTGTACTGTGCCAAGAGAGGCGACAGGGGGCTGAGTTCCCTTTCCACCCTCCTGCACTTTGAGGCCAACACTTCAGATTCCATGGCTTTTACACAGAGGGGTGGGCAGGGTATTGGTACCATCCCAAATAAACACAATATCCAGTTCATGCCTTTGTGCACTCCTTTATGGCACACGGGCAATACCAAGGAAGCGGAAGTTTGGAGGATTATTTGCTTGGGGATGGGAGGGGGTAGATGTTTGGAATGGGGTGTGGGTACAATTTGCTCAGTTGGTTCCTTTTTAAACCAAGAAATGTGAGTTCTGCATTGCCACCATCAGAAGCTGGAGGGGAGGAGCTCAGAACATGAACATCCACTGGCAAAAGGGAGCAGAGATTGGTTATGGAACTGGACTGGAGTAGACTGGAACACACCTGGCTGACTTCGGTCTCTACTGAACATTGGGAGGAATGGGAGTTTTGTACAAGCACATTACTCTGAGCATTTCAAGGGGATCAGTGCTCTTTCTTGAAAATCCTGAGGGCTGCAAAACCTGATGTTTTCAGCACTGGAAACAGTGTGTGCCACCATCACCATGTGCCACCTCTGTAAAGTGTCCATGGGCTCTGTCATCCCACCTCCAGAGGCATAAGGACACACCAGCAAAACCTACCAAACATTCTCTCTATCACCCACATATCCCCTGTGATCAATGTACTCACTGACGGCTCCTCATAACTCTGTGGTCATCTTTTTTCTTTTTTCTTTTATTTTTTTTTTCACTGCCATTAATTATTCCTGGAAGCAAATAAAAGGGCCCACCGATATCGCTCCCTCCTTCTGGCCGCAGCCAGCTTTTCCTTCGGGAGAAAAAACTTGTGTTCGTTTGCAGTGGGACAATGCCGACTTTTGAACCTCTAACCACTAACCAAACAAACCTTGCGCTCCGCTCCACAATCCAAACAGCCTTTATTGACAGGCGTATCGCAGCAACGCACCGCAGCTCGGGCAGCAGCCTGGCTGGGATCGATGTTGCAGGGCGGCCCCGGGCGCCAGAGGGCATCCTCCGAGGGACAGCCCCTCGGATCCATTTGGTGCCTGCAAAGCCCTGTGAACCGGCATCGCCGCGGTGTGGATTGGAATCCTTTAGATGCCACCATTGGGGCACGGTGCATACCGAACCCACGAGCAGTGAGCACAGCCTGAGTGCTGCTCACAGCAAGAAACCTGCATATATTAGCCCACATTGTGTCTGGGGATGGGCGCAGAGCTCCCCCAAAGTTTTCTGCCCCAGGTGGTGGAAGGAGAGCTGGGACATCCAAGGAGACTGAAAACTGACCAGTGGCATGAACTCCAAGCAAGGCAGGCAGCATGGGGAGTGACAATCAGTGCTGGGACACTGTGAGTGCCAAGTGGGTGCCTGGCAGCTCTCTGTAAGCACAGGATCTTCACCCCAGCATGGCTGGATGCAATTTTCACAGACTTCACTCTGCCCATCTCTGTATGGTGGTCCTCAGCACTGGGCGTACGGATCTTACAAGTGTCTTACACTGAGCTGTTCACTGCCACAGACTTGACACCGCCTCACCTTCTCTGCTCTGACTCTTCACAAACGTTTTGCATATTTGCAGTTATGACCAAAAAATGAAAAGTAAAATATAAAATTTAAAAAAAAAAATGTGCTTTAATTTCTTTTTTTTTTCCCCAATAAAATTCATTGTCAGCCCAACAGCATCGCTCAGACCTTCGCACAGATCCCTGAGATTCACTGGGGAGTGCCACGCTCCCCTTACACCTAACAAACGCCAGGGTAAAAAAAAAAAAAAAAAGGAAAAATAACAACAAAAGAAAACCATAATAATATTAATAACACCAAAGCCTCGGCCGCGGTTCCCCAAACGAGACGCGCACACTGTACATCTGTACACACGGCGCTGCAGTGCATTGGGGCCGTTCCCGCTGTGGCCGCGGGGCCTCTCCGGCCCCGGCCCGGCCCGGCCGTTCCTCCGCGATCCGTGCAGTCCCTGCGCTCGGCCGGGGCCGCTGTCACTGGGGGGCGGCAGGGCCCAGCCCGGCGGGTGGCGGGGCGGCCGCAGGCCCCGGCAACGGAGGGGCGGCGGGGCTGAGCGGCTCCGCGGCGCCGGGCTGCGCTTGCTGCAGCTTCTTCTTGTTGATCTTCCTCTCCTTCGCCCGACGGTTCTGGAACCAGATTTTCACCTGTCGGGTGTGGGAGAGCGAAAAAAAGGCAGTCGGTCTCAACGCACGGGGCTCCGCGGCGGGCGAGCGAGCCGATCCGCGCATCTCAATCCGCGCAACCCGATCCGCTCATCTCCGTCCCGCGTATTTCTGTCCCTTGTATCCCAACCTGCGCGACTCGAGCCGCGCATCCCAACCGCGCTCAGTCCGAACCGCACCACCGACCTGCCTCTCCGACAGCCCCAGGCTGGAGGCCAGCTCAGCTTTCCTCCGGATGGTGATGTAACGGCTGTAGTGGAACTCCTTCTCCAGCTCCAGCCGCTGGTGGTCTGTGTACACCACGCGGTATTTGTCCTTCGTCCTGGTTTTGACTGCGGAGGACAAAGCCGCGTTGGGAAAGCAAAAGAGAAAGGGCCGAGTGGGGCGAACGGGACGGGGCCTCTTCCAAACCTCGGACCGCGAAGGGCAGTCGGAGAGGAGCACCGTCCTTCGGCTCAGGGGGTGCCAAAGCTGTCGGAATGGTGCCGGAATGCAGCCCCCGCCCCGCTGCACCCCCGTTCATTTTGCTGGGGACAACTTTGGTTTATACTTCTGGCGGCGTCCCCGTTCGCTTTGCAGCGAGAATAAAGTCTTACCGCTTTGGAAGAAGAAAAAGCAATAGAAAAGGGGGAAAATAAGAAGAAAATAGTAATAAAAAGGTAAATAATGGAGAAAAGTGAAGCCCCATTGTGGACAGCGCAGATCGGACGGGAGCTCCGTTTCAGAAGGGGAAGAAGGGAGCTGAGCGCGTCGCGTTGAGCCCGGCGGACAGCTGTGGGGCTCAAAAATATTACAGAAAACACCGCACAGAAATAAAGGCTCGAGGGACGCGAGCGGACGGCGCGGCCCTCCCGTGCCCCCCTCTCTCTGATTGAAGCGGTGCTTCTCAGCCCCTTCCCACGGACACGAGCCGCGGGCAGCCCCTAACCCCAACCCTTCCCACCCCCCCCCCCCCCCCAGGTGCTCGGGCAGAATCCATGCAGGTGAAGTGCCGCAGAGCACAACAAAAGCACCCCGCGAGGAGACAAGGGCGATCAGAGAGAGCTCCCAGAGCCTCTGAATGGGGAACACAACCCCGAACAATGCGGGACAAGGAGATCTTATCAAAGAAAAACCCTTCTCAAAGCCTTAATGACAGCCACATTCTGTTTGAATTACCACTACTGAGCAAATGGCGGCGGCCGCTTTCATCCCCCGGCCCCGCGCATTACCATACGCGCTGCTCCAAAGGCGCAATTTGAATGCGGAGGGCCCGGCCGAGCAGCACCGACCCCGCGAGGGGAACGTCGCAGCCCGGGGGCAGCGCCGGGCACAGGGCCGGGGGAGGGGTGGGGAGGGCACACGATCGGTGATGGCTGCGGAAGTCACCGCTCCTTTTTTATTTTCATCATTATTATTTTTTTTTTTTCAGCCGTAAATATATCTGGAAATAGAAACGCGAAGGAAAAGAAAAAAAAGAGACAATGGGAGAGGAAGGTGTATATCAAAGCGGGCAGCGAGCAGCTCTGCTCATATAAAAGGGAGAGGGCTCGGCCGGGCCGTGGGGGGATTAACATCACAACGGAGCGCGGCGCCGGCCCCGGGGCAGAGGGGTTGGGGGGAACGCCCTCGCACCTCCGGGTCCCACCGGGCGGCCCGTGGGGGCCGCAGCCTCCGCAATGCCCTGTTTCCCGGGCTGGAGCCCAGCGAGCCAGAAGCGAATGTGGAGCGACAGCGGCCGATGATTTATATGACTGTAATTGGTTATAAAAATCTTTTAAGTGGCTCTAAGTGGCCGAGCGGAACGGAGAGCGACGTCGTCCTCCGCATGCCGGATGAGCCCGACTGCGAATCGGTTGTCCATCCGACGGCGCGCCCCGCAGCCCGGCCGTCCCCGGGCCCCGCAGCTCCTCTGCTCCCTGGGGGACGGCCCTGCCCCGCGCCCCGGCACGGGCCCGCTCTCTGCCCTTTCCCCATAGTTCCGGCGGAGACGCCACCGAGGAGCAGCCCCCGAGCGGGTCGGTTTCGGGCAGCCGCCCCCGCCGCCCCCGTCCCGTACCCCCCGCTTACCTTGGCTACCGAGCGTTGCCTGCGCCGGTTTTCTCACCCATTCGCACAGGCCGCGGCGCTGCCCGCCGGGGGACAGCGGCTCGGGGGCAGCGGAGGCGGCGGCGACGGCGGCGGCGGCGGGGGCGGCGCCGAGCGGCTGCATCCCCCCAGCAGAGCAGTGCGGCGCGGGGCCGGCGTGATGGTGGGCGTGCGGGTGGTGGTGGTGGTGGTGATGGTGGAAGTCGGCGGGGCTGTAGGCCATCGCCGCGGCCGGGGAGCCGCCGTTGAGGCCGTGCACGGCGGCGGCGGCGGCGGCGGCGGGCGGCGGGGCTCCCTGCCCGTAGGCCCCCCAGTCGTCGCGGAGCGGAGCGGCGTAGGGCGCGGGCCAGGCCGGCCCGGGGGACTGCGCGCCGTCGAGGTTCACATGGTAGCCGCCGTAGTCCGCGTATTGCGCGGCGCCCACGAAGTTCTGCGCCGCCAGGTTGAGCCCCCCCGAGTGGCGAACGGGGCCGGGGTACATGGGCCCGTCCTTGTCCAGGAGGTAGCTCACGTACATGCTGGCGGGGCCCCGGCGGCCGCTCTCGGCATGCTGCTGGGGCCGTCGGAGAGCCGCTGCCGGGGCCGTCGGAGCGCCGCCGCCCGGGGCCGGGCTCCCGCGGCGGGGAGGGGGCAGGCGGAGGGGCCGCGGCCCCGCGCAGTTCGCCGCCGCCGAGCGCTCCCGGTCCGAAGGCGATGGCCGGCAGCGCTTACATGATTAACGATTGTTTACAAGGCTCTATTAGTAATGGCCCAGACACACCAAAGGCAGGTGACGTGGAGAGGCGCTGGGTATATAGCTACTACCCCTAAAAGACGATTTGCATTTAAAAAGATAAGGAGAGGGCAGCGACCTGATCACAGCTAAATATTCAAGCCTTTATTGTTTAAGAGCTTCCTCCTTCCATTGCAACCTGGTGCACTTTAACCTCCAATCACAGGTTCAAAGGATGAAATCGAGAGACTTGCAAAAGACAGAGAAGGAGATCTAAGGGCGAGGGTGGGAAGATGGGAACCGCGGATCGGGCAGCGCCTTCGTCGCCCCTTCTCCTTGTTGGCGTTGGGGGCGAGGAGGGAGGTTTTGATTAAAAATCCCCAAAGCCGTTTTGTCGTCGTCGTTGTTTTAAGCCGCAAACCTCACGCTTGTCTTTCTAGCGCGCTTCCCACCCGCTCCCACTCCATGAACGAGAGGTAAGAGGAGAAACCCCCGCAGAGGGCACGGCGCTGTACGCCCGTCCGAGCCTCGACGGCCTCGACGAGAGCCTTCATCGGCAGCACCCGCAGCCCTTGCCCAGGAGGGACACTGCGGGGATGAGTGCGGGCCGCGGGACCCACGCGAGACCCACGTTGTCCTCGCTCCTCTCCCAACAGCCTCTGTCCATCCGGGGGCCGAGTCCTGCCCTCCCGGCACCCCCGGATTTTCCCACCCCGACGCCTCGGGAACCCGCCCCGGGGAGCATGCGGGCGGCAGCCAGCTCCCCCCGGCCGGGAGCCCCTTTGAAGAGTCGTCCCCCCCACCTCAGCTCTCCTCGCCGCTTTTATGCTTTAACTTTTCACCCTGAGCGGGGACAATGCCAGAAAACGTTTGCATATTTGCATCTTTTCCCATGGCACAGCGAGGAAACCTTTCACCCGCCGAGAGAGGTGGATGCGGACGGCAGCGTTTCCCAGTTTTCCCAGCTCAGCCCCGGCCCAGTTCGATGACTCTCCCGGGCGCTACGGTGCCGTCAGGGGGAAGCGGTCCTACCAGAGGTGGCCCACGGACCCCACACGCACGTCCGTGGCCTCCGTGTATCTCTCTTTCCTCTGGGTACGTGACCGTTTTGCAGCGTTCCTCCCGTTTCGACGGGCGGTTCTCATAAGTCCCTCAAAATTATCTTCTTATCCCTCTTCCGACGGCAGCTCCTGTGTCGAGAACGGGGCTGCCCCAGAGCTACGGGAATAACTCCGCGACGCCTCCCGAAGTGTTCCCCGACGTCCCATGTCCCTGCCCGCGGGCATCGGGGCTCTCGGGGAAGGACGGAACCCCGCTCCCTGCCCATCTCGGTTGGGACGCTTTCGCTGCGTGCGTCGTTCAGTGCCAGCACAGCAAACCCCATTGCCCACGCGATCTCATGGCCGCGGTTGCGACCGTGCAATAACAACAGCACACCGGGACGAGGGGTGCCGGGCGGCCGCCTCCTCCCTGTGGGATTTCTCTATCCCCTCGTGCGGTGCTGCCCCGGAGAAGCAGTGCCGCGTCCCCCCGCGGTGTCACGGCCGGGCTGCGCCGACAGAGTTTGATGGTGCCATAAACGAGGAAGGGCCATTAAAACGACACAACTCGGAACACAGAGCATCAAAACGCACCGAAGTCCGCACAGACCCTCAGCCCGGCGGGACGCGGCGCTCTCCGGCCGGGTCGGATTGAAGGTGCCCCTCCCGATCCCGGGCTCTATGCGGGATCTCCGCCCGATCTGGGTCAGGGTGCCTTCCCCTGTCCCACTGCGTTCTGATCCAGGAAGGAGTTTTGTGTCCCCCCTGCAAACCGATTGAGGCCTCTTTGTTTCCCACGCGGTTTTCCCATCTTCTCTCTCCTCGAGGTTCTGGGGAGGGTGCGTGGGGCATGGCCAAGGCAGCAGCTTTGGGTGGCGGGTGGGGGGGTTCCTTCCTTTCGTTTCTTTCATCATAAAAGTATGATTATTATTTTGTTTATCCTTTTATTTCCCTAGATCCTGAACGAAGAAAAGCGACTTTAAGGTGACAAGTGCCAAACCACGGCTGTTGGGAGCGAAATATCACCTGGGGATTTGGGGTTTTGTTTATATTTTATTTTATATTTTATATTTTATTTTATATTTTATATTTTATTTTATTTTATTTTATTTTATTTTATTTTATTTTATTTTATTTTATTTTATTTTATTTTGTTTTATTTTGTTTTGTTTTGTTTTGTTTTGTTTTGTTTATGTTGACCCCGTGTTTCCCTGCAGGGCCATTTGCTTCTCCCCTCTTTCTCTACATGCAGATCCCCTCTTTCCCCTCTCGGTTCCACCGGCGGCTCTGCCTCAGCCGCCCCCGTGGCTGCGGTCCCTTCGGGCTGCGGCGCTTTGCAGCGCCCGCTCCTTTCTACCAGCCCTGGCGCAGCTTGGAGCAGAACATCACCAGTTCCGAGGGAATCCGCCTGAGCACTGTCAGACAGAAATGCCTCCGGCGGTGACTCCCCACGTCTCTCCCGCTGCCTTCTGGAACGGGGTCTCCTTCGGGGCGCGGCCCTGGAGCCGGATCCCGGGACAGCGCGGCACGGGGACCCCGTCCGAGCCGCCCGTAGGAGCCCCGGGAAAGGCCGAGCGCGGCCACCCCCGTCGAGGGACAGCGGGCGCCTTCTTGTTGGGCTCCGACTGCATTCAGGTTTTCACGGAGCGATTTTTCTGTCTCCCGAGAGAAGATCAGGGTGAAGTGGGTGGGTCTTCCCATCTCCCCCACCGTAACGGCGCGGCACCGGGAGCTTTGTTTGCGAGGGAGAAGAAAAAAAAACCTTCTTGAAAGCCCTTTGGTGGCCGAGGAGAGGGAAGGAGGAACCGAGGGTTGGTGTGTCCGAGCTGTGGAATTTATGGCTCCCCCTAAGCACAGACATGATAAGGACTTAGAAAACATCTTGGATCTTTTCAAGCCGGCAGCCCCCGAGGCTTTGATGTAGATTACGTTGCAGAATAACCCAATACTTTTATCGTGGGGTTGATACCCGGCTTGTTTAAGCACATGCCTGCAGGAGCGGGCTGGATGCAGAACGCTGCTCCGAGCTGCTGGAAAGGAGTGGGGCCGGGGGAGGGGGCACGGAACAGCACGATTCAGCTCGGCACGGCTCTGCCCCTCGGACAGGTGCCGTCGGGCCTGAGCTTAGATGGCTGCTGTCATCCCCAGACAAGAAAACACTGCTCATAGAGTGGCCACCATTGCCCACATTCATATTGAGCCTCGAGGAAGGTGCCCAATAGTGGCTGCAGCATGATCAGCAGTCTGCCAGCAGTGAGCCCTGTGGCTATCCCTGGTCCTCGGGCCAATGGCCCCTTCATCCTCATAACCATCTAATTCCCTACATCTTGCTTTGAGATGTGCTCTTTGTGAGGCAGCCCAAGGTCGTGTCTCCCACTGTGTGCTGCCCACCTCTCCCCCCCCAGGGCCCCATCTCCTCACCCCACAGCAGCCCTGTGCTGCAGGGCTGTACACTCAGCACAGGCATTGTGGGGACACTTCGTTGTTTGCAAGGTCAAAGGTTTCAGAGGCGTTGACTGCACACCTCCTTGCAGGGCCCTGGAGCTCTGGGGGTGATGTTTCATGCAGGTGGCAAAGGCTGCTCTGAGGGGGTGGATGGGGCTCCTGCAAGCATTGCACAGCTCAGGGGGGTTCCCCCAACCACTGCTTCAAAAGCCTTCCCCAGGACTAGAGGTTCCCATTCCCCCACCCCACTGCTCACTCTGAGAACTGGGGCTGTAAAGAAGGGAGGAGACAGCGCTTCTGCCAGGGACAAACCCATTCCCTCCAAAGCAAACAAAGCCCAGGCCTCTGGCTCTGAGGAGGAGCTGAGTCTGACTGTTCCCCACACCGCCCATTCACTCCCAGATCTTTCCCCTGGAGAAGAGTGGGGCCTCGCCCCACGTTTCAGATCACAAAGGTCCCAGGAGCAGGGCCTTACCCTGGGCCACACCACCCTCCTCTGACGACTCCCACCTGGCTGAGCCCTGGGGCAGGGGGACACTTCGGGCACTGAGGGTTGGTCCTGGTGTCACACAGGGTTTGATTCTCTTCCAAATCTCCCATCCCTCTCTTTCAAACACAGTAGTTTGGCTTAGAGAAGTACATCCAGAACCAGGAGAAAGGTCTCCTAGGCAAGCTCAAGAGACGTGTGTGAGGTTCAGCAAATCCAAGTGCAAGATCTTGCACCTGGCTCACAGCCACCCTCATTATCAATACAAGCTGGGGAGCAAAAGGAAAGAGCACAGCCCTGCTGAAAAAGACATCGGGGTAGTGCTGGAGGGCAGTTGGATGTGAGCAGCAGTGTGCCCTCATAGCCCAGAAAGCCAACTTTATCCTGAGCTGCGTCCGAAGCAGCATGGCCAGCAGGGCAAGTGAGTGATCCTGCCCCTCTGCTCTGTGCTGGCAAGGCCTCACCTGGAGTACTGCATCCAGATGTGGAGTCCTCAGTACAGGGGAGGCATAGAGCTATTGGAGTGCATCCAGAGGAGGGGCACAAAAATGATCCAAGGGATGGAACAGCTCCCTATGAGAACAGAGGAGAGAGCTGGGGCTGTTCAGCCTGGAGAAGAGAAGGCTGTGGGGAGGCCTGAGAGTGGCCTTGTGATATATGAGGGGGCTGCAAGAAAGAAGGGGATGGACTCTTTAGGGGAAACGGTTTCAAACTAAAAAAAAGAGAGATTTAGACTGGGAGGAAAACTCTCTAACTAGAATATAAGGAAAGAAGTTTTTTTGTAATAAAAGCAGTGAGGCACTGGCACAGGTTGCCCAGCAACCAGAGAGGTGGTGGATGCCCCATCCCTGGGGTCACTCACTCAAGGTCAGGCTGGACGGGGCT